TGACCGTATTTCGTCGACTTACTTTGCAAATTGTACGAGTATTTTGAAATCCGTAAATCCGGTTCTAAATGTTTGATGGATGTTCTAAATGTAGATGAGAATTCTCTGATGTATTTTATTTTTATTACTGAGATAAAAATATATATAAATTAAATTATTCAGTTTCGTTTCTGATACGAAGATTTTTAGTTTGTTATATTGGCAAAACTATGGTTAGTCTATATAGTATTATAATCTTTCAATGGCCTAAGTATATTCTTTTTAATGATTCTAAGTGTTTTTTCAACACAGTATTCAAACTTATAATTCGTACCTTTGATATTCGCATAATATTTATTATTTTACAATTCCAGTGTGAATGACTTAAAAAAAACTTGTTTAACAAATTTTTAACATAGTATATATAGGTTTGTTTCTTTAATTCCTTAACAATTGGTAATTTTTCTCAAATATTGTTATATTATATGAAAATATAATTACTGATTATATTCCTCTTACAATATTAGACTAAACTTACATTATTAAACATACAAACGTAAATGAAACATCGAAATAGCACATCTATTATTAGATGTTTAATATTATCAAATCTATTCGCTAGTTCGATCACTATTGCTACGTATTAAGGACTCGTAAAAATTTATATATTAACAACAGTTTACAACTACAAGTTTACAACAAGTTTACAATAGTTTTTTCTAGGTTTATCTGTGTTTTAAATGGGATTTAAACAAACAAATATAATCACTAAATGCTGAAAAATATAACATTAATAAAGAATGAGAAACAGTTGCTGTTATACTACTACAATGATTAAGAAATGAACGTAATCATTCATTGTATTTAAAAACTATGTTAGAAAATCGTAAACAATTCAACCATTTATTTGAAAACAAAGTAAGAAAGGTTTATTAACTCAAATGGCGTCAAATAGTTACATATGTTTAGTGCAAATATTTTTTTATATCATTTTTAAACGAAGTTTTTGTGACCAACGAAAAGAAAGTTATGTTTTAGTCGTCTAAAATACATGATACAAAGATACATTTTAAATATAAGTAGTAATTCTTACAATGTATTTAAATACCTCACGTTTAAATAACAATATAAAAAATTATTCATCAAAGAAAAATTTGACGTAATCAAAATTATTTATCATAATTATTTGGAGTACGTCATGCTGCAAAAAGAATTATCTGAAGATATTTATTATCTGTGGAAAATTATGACATAAGTGTAATATATCTAAACAATTAAATCCATTTTAACCATATCTTTCACAATAAATTATAGAAAGGTGGGAAATTTTAAAAATAATAATACAATTTATGTCTTTTCTCAAATCCTATATACGTCATTCGCAATTATTTATAATTCAAATAATTTTTCCATTAGATTTGAATGGACAATAATCAAGACGAAATTCTAAATGCATTTAACATGTGCACGTCATTGTTTTGAGTCCACGAGATGTTAATGAGTAGCAAACAGGTTTTATTCCAAATCAATGGATGTGTGTTAAAAGAAAACAGAAGTTTGTTATCTGTTGTACTAATCATTCAAATTATGACATGACTAGAAAATCCTCGATAATACATTAGGTGCTAGTACAATCAGTAGCTGAGATACTATGGCGTATAAATATTAGTTTTGTCAACTTTTGATGGTTAAATAAAACCATTGCTTACATTGGTGTTACTGAATGACCATAATAATGAAAACCTTGGATTTAAGCTAATATTTAGTAACGTGTGTTTAAAAAATTAACACTAGATATCTTTTAAACGATTCCTTGAAGAAATAACAGATTTTAACTGTAATTTATTTACTTTTTGGGTATGTAAATAAACCAGCTCGTATCATTAGATATATAATATGGCATCAGTTTATAAAGCTTTGGTAGAACGAACACTGTTCGCTTCTCTGGTCACGTGGTCATGACGCACTGTCTCCAGATAAAACCAGATCTCGCCGGTGTCAAAGCCTGTTCACAAGCCTTCCTCTGACCAACCTATACGAGAGTATTTATATGTGATATGTTGATACAAACAAACAAATATATTTATCTTAAATCAAGGGATGCTAAGGTAACTTACGAAACTTGAGTTACAGACTTTTCTAACAAATACTTTCTGATTTTTTTTATTACGTAGGTATGATGTAGTTTTAATTGCTTAAATACATATGGAGAACTTTATATACAATACTTTGATGAAAATAATAATTAATCGTTGGAGACCAATGTTAGTTCTTGTCATACAAAAATAATATACCTAATAGGGACAACTGAATTTGTTTTTCAAAATGAGGGAACAAAAATTATTTTCGATTTTGAATGAGAACTTAATATAGATACAGTTAGAAATAATGTTGTTTATTTTTATTTTTATTTATGCTATGACTGATTCGCACTAGAATCGCGGAATATTTTGCGAATGTGAATAGTTATTTATATAATTTTAATTGTCGTTGCAATATAAATGTCAATATTCAGCTAAGCTTTTCATCATCTCAATACTTATAGTTAATAAATCATTATATATAAAAGTTTCGTATATTTTAAAATAAATAGCCTTGACGGGATCGATTTTTAGGTCGGCTATGCAAATCACTAGGCAGTTATAAGTATAAATCTCGGTCAGCAACAGTTTAAAGAATAGGAAAAGATTTCGTATAGAATATAAATATATATATATATATCGACTTCTTAGAAAAGAAATATTTATTCAAAGAAGGTAACAGCGGTTTGAATATGAATCAGAAATAGTGACTTTAACATTTAAAACCTGAGTTTTTATATAGATATAATAGACAAATTAATTGTATAATTATATAGTTATTAAATTATAATTACTATCATGATTAACCTAATAGGAATGAACAGTACAAACTCTAATTTAAGGAGTCAAAGGTCTGAGTATTATTTCCGTTTCCAGAAGCAGAGGTTCACCTTTTCATAACATGACCTCGTGAACCAAAAGGAAACAGATTTTGAATTTTGATGACCTTCTTATTGTTTATAATATTTTTAAGTGTACTAAAACACGTTGTTTAAAATCGTTTTGTCATATTTTAGTATGATCTACATTATACTATAAGTTCTGTATTGTTTTTTTATGTTTTCATTGTCGCATAGCTTATGGAGTTACTGCCGATTCTCATTTAATATCAGATTTTATGTTACAATAAACAAAAATACGAACAGATTTGTGATTAAAAACTATTAACTGTCTATATGTCGTGTGACGATGTAGAGTGTAGACTAAGCATAAAGAAGAGAAACCAGCAATTCCAGATCATTTCTATTTTTGTTTTTTTTTAGTCATTATATATCAGGTTTTTATACTATTTTAAGACAAAAATAAGTCAGTAATTCTCATATTCATATTAAGTGTAATAACTTAAATTTAACTTTATTTGTTAACCTACAAAACTTATATATAAAGGGAATTCGTTATTCTGTTATTTAATTAAATTATTGCTTTAAGAAATTCTTGAAAACTACAAAGATGAATTGTCTTCTTCGTGTCACCGTTGTTTAAAATCAATTACTTTAACAACATTACACAAAAATAACAATACATATATGTTTTAATATGCTACACATAAGATATAATAAAAAAACATATTTAAATACTATTTAGCGCATCATTTCACACGTGGTCGTGTTTTAACACTACATTAAATTATTTGTTTATTTTCCAACACTTCATGAGTGAGCTACTCATCCCTACTAATATTATAAATGCGAAAGTAACTCTGTCTGTCTGTCTGTCTGTCTGCTACGCTTTCACGCCTAAACCACTGAACTGATTTTAATGAAATTCGGTACAGAGATAGAGTTGACCTTGAGAAAGAACATAGGATAGTTTTTATCCCAGACTTTTGAAAGGTTCTCTTGGAAACGCGATATAACCGAACTCCACGCGGCGAAGCTGCGGGCGGAAAGCTAGTATATACATACAACGTATTATGTTTGCAATTAACATTTAGGTACGAGGAAGGAAATTTCATTAATTGGTTAAAACAATCCCTCTTTAACAATGAGCTATTAAGATATAAAGTTCTTATTTTATAACTCTAGACTTTAGGACGCCATTTACTAAAATTGGAGGAAAAAGTATATAGCAGTATAATAATATTTATCTTTTGTGGTCACTGATCACTAGTTTTTAACCGCAAGTTCACTCGTGTAAATGATTCTTGACATTACATTTATTTTATTTATCGATCTTTATTCCGCTAACAACTTGTTTTTACGTGGGCTCGCTAAAACTGTATTGTTTACGTTAGATAATCGTGTTTAATAGAAAAGATAAACAAAATAGTTTTATAAAATTACCATTATATATTTTAATTCTATTTTTTTATGTTTGTCAGTAAGTAAAATGTGTAAAATGGGATTAAAGTCGTTCTTTTAAACTGAATATATTACATATAATATTAAAAAATGATTTAACATACTTCTCTATAGTCAACACGTAGCTAGACTATGATTAAGATACTAAATACTAATGAGATATAAGACTTTCGAGCGTATTTATTTAAATAAATTTAATATTATCGAAATTACTACGCGTTTTTTATTCTTCTAAACTACATACTCCCCACGTTTTCTTACTGCAAAAATCGTGTAGTAATTCCGAAAATATTAGTATTATTTCAATACTAAGTACTAAAAGCCATAACTTCTAGACAATTTAATTATGATCAGTAAATTGTTTAAATCCTTGATCATATTTGATAAAGAGAACAATACGAGACGTTTGTAATTAACCTTTTAGTACGATTACGTATGGATTTAAAACGCTGGACTTATATTATAAATAATTTAATTTAAATTTATAATTAGAGATATAGGAATAAAGTAATTTTTTTTTTCAGATTCCAGCCAAAGAATTATGTTCTGGTCGATAAGAATATTAAGGTTCACTTGTACTATGATAAATATTATTAAAAAACATAAAAGTATAAAAACATAGTTTATTGACAGAACAAAGATGTCGGACAACAGGTGAGAAAGTGTATTTCTAAATTAAAATAGAATAAAATCTCTTCATGAGTTTTGACAAACACATAAATACGTACGTACATTATAAAAAAATAAAAGCAAAAAACATCATCACTTATGACTTAGGGATATGAAAAAAAGATGTTGGACGATTCTCAGACCTACTGAATATGCTCACAAAATTTTATCAAAAGCGGTCAAGCGTTTCGGAGGAGTTCTCTGTCTAACACCGCGAAACGAGAATTTTATATATAAGGTATAAAAGTAATTTATTCGATTTTAGGTTTTTTTCGGCTGAAAAGAGGTTGACGATAATATTGCTAATAAACCTCCATTCTATAGGTTCACCGTTTCGACAGTTGAGTCGGAATGTAAGAAGAATGGAATTCATATGGGTGCGAGTATTATTGGCAGGCCGCTACGGACCTCGTTGGAGACGGTGGAACGAGGGGATCCCAACTCACAGTCTGATACATGGCTACACGATGCTGGCTGGAGGAGAAAACGATCGTTGGCCCAGCTTACTAGAGAAGCATTACCGCGAATGGAGAACTATAGGAACTCAAAGCGAGCTCTTAAAAGACCAAGTTTAGGCGAATTACATGGAGATCATTTGATCACAGAAGAGGTGAGTCTTTACTTGATGTCAGATTAAAAAATAAAAATGTCATCTATATAAAACTTACGAAGTAACAAGTCCCTGATCAACTAATCACGTATATACGAGAATATAAGGAAAAGGCAGACTATTTTTTTTAAACAAATACACCATTTTGATATTAGTATATAAATTGCTGATTTTATCTTAATTTTCTAACTATTCCGTTAAGCAAGGAAAAATATATGTAATTATATCATAAACAAATGAAGATAAGCCACAGATTATATTTATTTCATTACGCAATAAGTCATGAATCTTCTATCAAATTAAACATCACGTTTACATTTCACACTGAATTCCGTATGCGATAATTTCAAACAAATGACGGCCATTATTTTAATTGTTTACTACTGATGCTACGTTTGTACCGAAAAATCATTCCAATTAGAGCAGCGTCATACGACACTACGGAGCACTTAAAATGTCGTTATGTACAATTTCAGTATTATTTTGAGATTTAAATTTTTTTATGATATAAAAAATGTTATGTCATTCAGTAAAATAAAATTAAAATATATAAATTGATGAAAAATCTGAAAAATACATTTAGTTAGCAGAACATTCATTCGAATTAGGAATTACATTGATGAGTTTGACAGTTAATAGAATATTTCACCTTCATTATTTTGACAGAACTGAAAAAAAGTCACAGATTAAATTCAAATTAAAGGTCACGGTACGTCAAATCCAAATACCTAAAATTTGAATAGAATGAAATATAAAAAATATAAACTGTGTAATTTTTATTCCATTCAATAAATAGTTGGAAACAACGAGATGACGTAATTCGATAGCTGGTGAGGCGACCGTGTTCGCTTCTAACCAGTTATTGTCGGAACTAACAGGACATCCTACTAGCCACAAGTAGGACCTGTCTAGAGCCCTCGATATAAGTAGGGGATGAACAATACATAATTAATAAACACTTCATATAGATATGAAATTAAAAATATTAAGTCTATTTAAAAAAATAATTTACAAGAATTTAAAACGATAACGTCATCTAATTTTGACATATACTGAAAACTATTTAGACATACGTCAGTATATTTTTATGTTCTAAGAATTGCATTTCAATGCAATAACTCAATTAAGTATCATTTTAAATATTATAAATATGACATTAATGAATGTTTTAAAAGAAACCAAATACAAAATTACACAATAAATTCAACATTAAAATGTCAATAACACATTAGGCATCTTATTTTGGACATGTTTTTGACACTACAGCAATATTTTAACACTACCATTGTTGTGTTCAACAACCTTCTCGGCCCTTAATATGGGTAAAGCAAATTATAATGTTTTATGAAATCTGTATAACATTGTAACACGCAACACATTCAAAGATACTCATCCATAATTCATTTTAAATGTGAAATAAAACGCGTTAGTAAAAATGACATTGAAATTTCGGTCACTGTTTTTATCATTCAGGATAAAAGAGTTTTATATATAAACCTCGTTTTTATGTATGTAAATTATATAAATAAATCACATAATAATTTATATGTTACATTCAAACGCACTGTTGACGTTTGACAATATGTTGTGTGCATTTTACAATACGATTTCATATGCTTTATTAAACTTAATTGAACGAACATTTCTGTGTATACCAATGATATACAATGCTAAGTACTTTTTAATTTCAAACTATCATAATATTACATGTTAAACAGTTTTATTTTTTCGTCTGAGCGTCGTAAAATTTTATAATTTTCCTTTAATGCTGTGTCCATGACAGATTTCCTCGTTTGTTTCTCGTTTATGATCGTCTGCTTACAATTGTCTCATGCTGTAAGACATCAGGTATCCATTGCAGGTGACCTTCCTCTGACGGAATAATCAGATTTAATGTCGCCTATAACACAATTATTTCTCCGTCAAGGATATCAAAATTATTCAACATTGAATATTATGGTTGATGTAGTTAATTTTATTGAAATCCACATTTAGTTAAAGATATACTTAGTTTATTTTTATTTAACGTATTTTCTAATATGTGATAGTAAAGACGATATGTTGTTTTTCGACTCTATATACATATTCTCTTCTTGGAATTGATAATATTGGTAAGATCTCCAAGATAGAATGAAAAAATTCTCTATTTACAGAAACAGTTGATTATGTAAGTTAAATTTGAAGAGATATAAAAAAACATTTGGCTAATTTTATTTTTTATGAAACGATTGCTTTTATGAAAAAAAAAAATAACAAGATTCTTTATTATCTTTTTGTTTCGAACTAGTCTGAGACATTATCCTGTTCTTTGTAGAAATATTTTCAGAATTTTCTAATTTTTACTTTGTTGTTACGATGACGTCATTACTAAGGTTGACTAATTCATTGATACATTCTTACCATAAAATACGAAACCTTTTTGTTTCAGGACGAGAAACAATGTCAAAGAGAAACAAAATCACCGACTCCGGCACACGGCATCAAACTAGGATGGATTCAAGTAAGATATGAACATCCCTACTAATATTATAAATGCGAAAGTAACTCTGTCTGTCTGTTACACTTTCATGCCTAAACCACTTAACCGATTTTAATGAAATTTGGTACAGAGATGTAGTTAACCTTGAGAAAGAACATAGGATAGTTTTTATTCCAGACTTTTGAAATGTTCTTTTGGAAACGCGATATAACCGAACTTCACGCGGGCGGAAAGCTAGTTATTTATAATTTTAAGTATGTTTTGTTGTAGGGCGTGTTGATACCATGTCTGCTGAACATCTGGGGCGTCATGTTGTTCCTGCGTATATCGTGGGTGGTGTCGCAGGCCGGTATTGGCCTCACCCTCATAATCATCGCCATATCAGCGGTCGTGTGCGTCATCACCACCCTCTCCATGAGCGCGATATGCACCAACGGGGAGGTGAAAGGAGGTTGGTAGCAAGGAGTTTACACTTAAAAAAGTTTTACTGTCATACCAATATGACGTTGAAGGTTATTATTTTTTATAGTTTTCAACTTACGCGAGTCCAAGTAAAGGTTTAATCTTGTTATTTCTTAAAAAGCGAAATAAATCAAGGGCGAATGTCTTTGATGTGAATTCAAAAAAAGAATACATGTTTTTCTTTACGTATAAATTCAAATACATTTATTATTATCATTAGGTGGTATATACTACATAATATCAAGATCTTTGGGTCCTGAATTCGGTGCGTCCGTTGGCATTATATTCGCTTTCGCCAACGCAGTAGCTGCTAGCATGAACACAATAGGATTTTGCGATTCTCTAAACGACCTCCTCAGAATACAGGGAGTCAAAATTATTGACAATGGAGTGAATGACGTCAGAATAGTTGGGGCTGTAGCGTTGGTTGTGATGTGTATAATCTGTGCTGTCGGCATGGACTGGGAGAGTAAGGCACAGGTAATAAAATATACAGATTCAATATTAACATTTTTGGACCAATAAGGTTATATATTATTGATTGAATCATACTTTTTATTGAACTATATACAAAAATTTCATGCATATATTTTATCATTATGTTTTGTTTGCTTTAAACAGATATGCCAGTATATATTATATCTAATGGTTGAACATAACTTATTTTTTAATGTGTTTATGATATAGTCAAGAGTATTATATTTAATAGTCTGTAATTCGAGCCTGCCCTAGAAAATGACACGGTGTACTCATAATAATAACACCTACTAACATATTTAAATATATTTTTTTATCTTACACGATTAAATTATATGATTATAATTTTTATCGTGACTTGATTTCCTGAAATAAAGTAGAGTAGCTATTTTGTTTGTTTAGAACAAATACTGTTTTATGAAAATTGCTAAAACAAAATAATGTGGGACATTAAATTATTTCCAATTTCATTAACTGTCATTATAATTAAATATCTAGATGTCAATTTATATTAATCATATAGGAATTATGAAACTGTCATGTTAACTTTACTTATTAACGATAAACAAAATGTATTGGTATATTAAGTAAACGTAAACAACATATTTTATTATTAAGACGTTTCTAATTTAAAAAGAAAATGGAAAATTAGTCTGAAATTAATTCGAAATCCATTTAAAATTAAAAAAGTACAATTTCGCTCGTGGAAATTTTGAATCACTCAGTTAAATTACATTCGTAACCAAATATTAATTCTATATACAGTCAAGATAATGCTGTAATATATATATATATATATATTATTTCAAAAACCCTCAGTCCTGAACAATTGTTAAATAAAGGAGTAATATGTATTCTTTAAAAGTCTGTAAATAATGTGTTGTTTTTAGAATTTCCTGATCGCCATTATTGTTGGAGCGATGGTGGACTTCATAGTAGGGACTCTGATGGGCCCCAAAGACGCGAGCGATGTTGCTCATGGCTTCGTAGGGTTGTCAGGTGAGAGAACAATTAATTAATATTAAAAAAAGTTAATAAAAGTGTAACCCGTTTCATTAATATGATTAGAAATACGTAGTATCTGAATTTTCGCAATTCAATACGTAAATAATATTTAAATTAGAAGATGAAATTCAAGAATGTATATTACAGGGTGACTGGTGAATTATTATCAATATTTAAGGAGAATACTCGGTACATGATTCTCATTCGAATTATGTAAAAAAAATAGGTACTTAATTTTTGACCAAATTTCCGTATAAATAAATAGTGTGGACACGCTCCAAGTGTTCCATGTGTGGACGCGTGCGGCGGCGTGCTGATACAACACTACGCCGCCGTACGCGTGTGTGTGTGCGTGTGTATACCTAATCTGTAGGGTGTTCACACGATGCGTAATTAATTACATAACTTTTGGTTAACTTTACTTAGAAGTTTATTAATATTTATGTTATATTAATTTTTATTTTGTCATATATGATCGTCAAATATCACGTCCTCAAGTATCGATAGTAATTCACCATTCACCCTGTATAAATTTATTTATGCTAGTAACAAGGTTTTTTGTTTTATTAATTATCAGCGGCAACCCTATCGGAGAACTTCAATCCAGACTTTCGGTTCAGTGAGGGTCTTCACCAAGACTTCTTCAGCGTCTTCGCAATATTTTTTCCTTCAGTCACCGGTATACAGGCCGGTGCTAACATCTCTGGAGATTTAAAGGTAAGATGAAAAAAAAATATGCGATACTAATTAATTATAATATCTTTTATTCCTTTCAATTTATTTAATAAAGTAATTTACTCGCTTTAATTTGGATGAATGCTTTATCCATTCGCTATATGACATCTGTTTGGACTTGTCATCTGTGACTGACGCGGTCTGTATTGTCACAAGTGTGACGGCTAACGTCAATAAGTTTATGTATTCATATTTGTCTTGTAAATTACTTCTGTACATTATTACAATAAATTGTTATGATAATATTAAATCGTATTAACACGATTAGGTTTTATGTGTAATATTAAAACAGCTTTAGTTTCATCATTGCAGAATGCTCGTACATCTTTGCATGTTATAAATTAAAAAAAAAACCTTAGACAACTGATATATTGACATATGGTCAACTTTTAAATCTTGACAATTTTTCGACAATCTTTACGAGTATTTTCGTTTACATTACGATGGATTTAATTAATTATTCCACATTTTAATTTTTCCCTCCATTTTCGTACATATGATTCTTGAAAACGTCGACCACGTCCCGGTTTCAATTAATCGGGGCGAGTTTGTCAATATTTGTTTTAACGCAGAACTAGGTCACTGTAAGCATCGAACTGTTATTACATTTTATTTAACGTACAACGTCCTTAAATACAGGAGTTATTTCAATGTATATTACGAACATTCTATAACACAACACTTAAATTAGTCTATAGCTATCACTTTATTAGAAGGAAAAGTTCCTGTTATTTGGAAAAGTGTATGGAATTCATTCAATTACCACCCTCTGAGTCATGTAACGAACTATCATCATATCAGTTGTAAATGACGTCGCTTTAGTGAGAAATTTAGATTAATTTAGCGTCGAATGGCACTACGTAAAAAGTATTTTATCAAAGCTAACTTAAGAATAAAAAGGAATGAATTTGAATATAAGGACATTTATTATATGTATAAAAGTACATAAACGTATATCACGATTTATAAAGAAAAACAAAATAAATGTATCACTCATGAACAGTACACAAAACAGTGGTTTTTTCTAACACGAGCGTCGCACAATTCCGATAACAATAAAATTGTTTGTTTAATTAGATGATTGACTAAAATTGTGTTAATCAATAACATATTAGGTATATAAGATGCACGTGGCTTATATACCTGTTATATAAAATATATAAATGTTGAATGTGTTATATACAAAGTTTATAATAATACAACAATTATTATTATAACAGTTCTACACGGGTGACCATCGTGATTTTAAATAGTTTTATTGTCAGCTTTAAATAATGTTCCACGCTGAATACGTTTTTAACGATCGTATAACACAAGGATAACAAACTTATGGATGCCGTGACGATCGATGTATCCCAAATGAGACTAAATTGAATGAAGCTCGCGAAATAAATGTCAAAATGATTGACCTTCCGAATTATTTATTTCGCGTACAAGTTTTATCGAATATAATAGTCAATAGTTTCTGAGAGAAATAAAAGTAATTACTAAATGAATGGAAGGTTTTAAATCGATGTATGACTCGCTACTGACACTGTTTTTCGGGTTTTGCGAGATGTAGGGTGATTTACAGGACGGATTTAAAGATGCTGAAGCTTTAGTAGCAAAGAACATTTGTAAAGAAAACGTAGTTAAAACTATTTATATAGTTAGAATTAAAACGTCATATCTTCCACAACTTTACCACAGATTGATTTATAATAGTAACAAAACGACAATTTCATTAAAAAAAAACTATGGTGAAGACACAGTAAATAATTAATGTATATATAGATATCGTGCTATTGATCCCCATTGCGAACGTAAAATTTATTGGGGAGCAGTTGATTTTATATCCATATTTTATATATATAAAATCAACTAATTATATTTTATATATATTTATATATACCTAATATGTTATTGATTAACACGGTTTTAGTCAATCATCTAATTAAACAAACAATTTCATTGTTATCGGAGTTGTACGACGCTCGTGTTAGAGATAAACCACTGTTTTGTGTACAGTTCATAAGCAGTTGCTAGCAAGTTGTTTTACTTTTTTATTAAGACCTCGTTGACCACCTGTAATCCTGAAGCAATAATTATCCTTCATAATCTTTCCATAGGATCCAGCTTCCGCCATTCCCAAAGGTACTCTTCTAGCGCTGCTAATATCGATGGTGAGTTACGCGCTCATGGTGCTATTTTCTGGCGGAGGAGCTTTGAGAGACGCGTCAGGGAACATCTCCGACCTGATCATGGCCAATGGAACTATTGTCAACTACACCGGACTATCGAATTGCGTGAATAGCTTAAACGGCTGCGGCTATGGCCTCCACAATAGTTATTCCGTAAGCAATAACGCTAATTACGTATAACTTTTAACGTTAATTACGTATAACTTTTAACGATAATTACGTATAACTTTTTAATTTTAATGAGATTATTGCTTCTTCTTCTATAGTTAGTGGCGTTTCCTTATAGATTTCGCCAATGTCGTGTAATTATTGATTATTATTGATTTATCATACAGGTAATGCAATTGATGTCAGCATGGGGACCTCTTATTTACGGTGGTTGTTGGGCGGCTACTTTATCGACTGCTTTGACCAATCTCCTATCAGTGCCTCGTTTGATCCAAGCGCTTGGAGTAGACCGCATCTATCCTGGACTTATCTTCTTCTCAAAGCCTTACGGCAAACACGGAGAGCCTTACAGAGGATATGTGTTGACTTTCATCGTATCACTGATGTTCTTGCTTATAGGTAATTAGTTGATTGAGTTATTTTTTGCATAAATGGAGTGTTTCTAATATATCCAATAAGATTGATGGATGTAATTGCTCGAGTAATGTACTTGGTAATATAAAAATAATGTCAAAAGTAGCATTTAAAGAAATAAGCTTTTTGTTAGACTTAAAATATAGATTTTGTTACAATATTAGGTTCACAGTTACATATTTTATGGCTTACAAAACGAAATATTGTTGAAACGAAAATGAACTAAGGATTGAGAACAAGGTTCTTAAAATAAATTAAACGTAATACATATCACTTTTTAAATGACGTTTTATATGTTATTAAAAAAATGCGATTTTTTATGTGTTACATAACTATATTATATTTCCAGCTGACCTCAATACGATCGCTCCTCTCATATCTAACTTCTACCTAGCGTCGTATGCTCTCATCAACTTCTGTACTTTCCACGCGGCCCTCGTGCGTCCTTTAGGCTGGCGACCTACATTCCGGGTAAAACTTTACAAATTACACCAAATTCTTCACATTTTCCTTTAAATTAATATACATTTTGGTCATTATAATGTGTTCTTCTTCTTTTCACATTCAAATTCTTCACATTTTCCCTTATATCAATGTGTCTTTTGTTTATTTCAATGTGTTTTATTTTCAGTACTACAATGTCTGGCTATCAATGAGCGGTTTCCTAATGTGTGTGGCTATCATGTTTCTGATAAGTTGGATTATGTCTCTTGTGACATTCGCTGTATTCTTCACTCTGTACCTCATAGTACACTATCGGAAACCTGGTAAGTGTATAGTCCAAATAAAAAGAAAAAAATTATTACTAAATCTCTAAGAAAACAATAGAAAAACCTCCAAAAAATACTCACGAACTTCAAAATATAATTCACAAATAACAAATCAAATATTTGTTATTAAATAAGTTTATATAACAATGTTATAAATATATAAAGACGATATAATTATCTGTCATTTGTCATTTTGATTATGATTTTTATAATGTAAATTGATCTCACATTAGCGCTTCTTGTTGACACGAGTACAATGACTACTGATTCATTCTAAACGTTGATAAAATTATGTTTAAAATTTAGCACATTGATGTTCAAAAAACTACAAAAAAATTACGTCACGTTTAAAAATTACAGACAAAATGAATTAAATATCTTTGCGTTGTTTTACTAAGTACTGTTTGATATTATTATTATATTTAATTTAGTGTTTTGGGAGCAAATCGTAAAAATAACTGTTAAATATTTGATCTAGTTTAACACAAGAACGTGTAAAATGTAATGGTAGATTTAATACAGTGGCTGATATATCAGAACACTTACAGAAATAGCTCTTTAGTGTATTGAAGCCGCTAAATCTGTGGCCGGATGAATTATTACGCCGTTTTGGTGTTTCCTATTTTCCAAGTATTACGTAATAATGGGCACTTGTTAACGTTTCGTGGAAACAGTTATGGCCATTAAGCCTTGATACGATTATATTTTAAATCTACCAAAGTGCAGGATATGACATGAATTTTACGTATATATATTTTAATATTTATTCAATAAATTTCATGATAATGTTAGAAAAATACGAAGTTCCCTTGGAATTTTCAAAGTGATTTCGTAAATATCGAAATATAACGGTATTATCTTGATATATTGAAATGAATTCTTCTAGATGTCAATTGGGGCAGCAGCACCCAAGCCCAAATGTACAAAACAGCGTTATCAAGCGCCCATAACTTAGCAAGAACTGGTGAACATGTCAAGAATTACTGGCCACAGCTGTTAGTTCTGGCTGGGAAACCGTCTGATAGACCAGCCTTAGTAGACCTCGGCAATCTCATCACGAAATCCGGCTCTCTCATGATGATTGGTGATATATCACAGGTAAATATAGACTTGTTTGAAAGCTGAGTGGTTTTATGGAAGCAAATATCAAACTGTCTGGAATAGAACCAATGAACACGTATTAGAGTTTACTAACTGAAATGTCGCTTTGTAATTTTATGTTTCAATAGGGTTTTGGATTTCGCTTTGACGAAATCATAAGTAGGTACAAAGTTTTAAATGATAAAAGTTATATTTGAAATGTTTAAGGCTATAATTTCATTATTTACTATAAATTGATTGTAGTGTCGTTAAATCTGGTAATTTAGTTAAATTAACGTCTAATTATGATTTATCTTGATATGCTTGTATAAAAATAATGATTGAAGTGACGTTTAAAGTAATGAATAGTGAAAGTTTGTGTAAAATTATATTCCAGTATGATTTCTTTAAGTTTTTCTTACGAAGAAAAAAAGAAAGAACCTCTTAGAATCATTACAGCAATTACTATAATACAAAACTTAGTTTTAAATACAGTACCTATGTTATTATTTCTACTAGTTATTTGATAAGGCGAAGCAATTATCATCATTACATATATAAATAGTTTATTTGCTTCACGACATTATATCTTTTCTAAACGTTATAAAAATCAGAAAAAGAAAAATGAATTTATAAACCTCTTTTACTTTTAGCTAAATCCTTAAGATAATTGACACTACTGATGAATATAGGATTCACAATATATTTATAACCTTTATAGATACACTTTTTATTACCTATTCAATCTATGACGACATCTAAGACTTTCACGAATATTCATTTAAATGAAACTAATTGCATAATAGTCCGAAAATGAGATGAATCCTCTTAGCATTCTATGGATTCACCGTGTAGATGTCGGGTCTATCGTTGCAGTGAGAGGAGCTTCAACAGTACCTGGGACTTGTGACCCAGGTGTAGGTTTAGGGGCCCTTATCTTACGCGCGTTAAACGCTCACCTCCACTGTCCAAGCTCCTCTCTCTAACTAACAAAATTTGAAAGGTTCATTTTAAGTCACCGTAATTAATGTGTGTAATATTGTATATAGAAAAAGCTAAGCTACAAGGAGCGTGTACATCGCTCGCGGTGTGGTGACGAGTGGTTGAGAGGTCGCAAGGTCCGCGCGTTCTGTACCTCTGTGAATGGGTTCAGCTTTGAGTCTGGTGCGAGGGCTTTGATGCAAGCGGCGGGCGTTGGAAGACTGGCTCCCAACGTGCTGCTCATGGGGTATAAAGCCGATTGGGCCACAGCACCCGCTGCCGACTTGGAATCATACTTCAATGTTTTACAGTACGTTGTATAATAATAGCCTTTATTCAGACCCATAGAACTTAAATTTAAATTTGATATACTTTAATCTAGTCTCTTATTCGAATTTTTCTATAGACATGTTTGCCAATTGACAAAGTCCTCCTTAAAACAGTACGTTAAATACATTGATAAATCTAATAAATTCATTTGATATCAATACGTTTATTTCTATTTCATATCAAAACTCTCGTCCTAATAGATATATCAATCATTTATGTCAACAGTACCGCATTTGAGACTCGTCTCGCGGTGGCTATAGTCCGAGTTGCCGGCGGTTTGGACTATAGTGCTGTAGAGGGGCAGGGAGAGGGAGGATTGGACGGGCAGGGGGAGGGGGGAGCCCTTACAGCCACCTCCAGTGGTAGCGGAGACCTCAGGATAAAGAGACCACAAGCACAGATAATGCACGCGGACTCAGATCTTGATATACGATCTACAGCGACCACTGGCTCACAGCCTTCCAGCAGACATAACCTTAGTGAGTATTAAGAACAAATAAACAAGATTTAATCACAATTTAGGTATAGAGATCTTTATTTTTCCAAAAAAGACACAAAGTCACTTACTTACATGGAAACAAAAAATTGAAGTAATATTAAATGTCGTTCTTGAGATATAATTACATAACGAGTTGTTTGACTCATTCTATTTACACTATAATTTAATGAGATCTAATACTTTTCGAGTATTCGTTTAAATAAAACTAATGCTTTTGGATGTACTACGCATTTGTATTATTTTAACTTAATACTCCCGACGTTTCGGTTATTTTGCAGCAACCGTGATCACGGGCAGATGAGATATAATTAAATCTCAACAACAACAAAATAACAAAAAGAAATATAGAATACTTTTATTCATTAATCTTATAATATACATATGTATTTTGTTTCAGATCTATTGACTCTTACAACATCGCGTTCATTCACGATATCAGAGAAAAGTGACACCAAGGAAAAGAAAAAAGACAAGAAATTATTTGATATTCAGCGACAAGTCATCTACAAGTCATCGTCTGGTGTCGAAGTGTCTATGGAACAGTTGTCACAGATGACGCTGTTCAAGAGGAAACAGGTAATTTCAGGAATGAGGAAAACTTCCCTTCACTTCACTTCACTTAGTAATCATGGAAAATACGAGAAAAATATTTATTCAAACAAAAATCTTTGATGGTTTAAAATGTTAGTGTTATTAATATTACATAATAGTATTTTTGAAACTATTTCAAGTTGTTCATTCGAATTTTTTTTTCTCATGACATATTTTTTATACCAGAAAATAAATGATGAGCCAGCTATAATTTTTAGGGCATGTCGTTGCCAAAAATATATATATATATTCATATTAAATTACTAGTAAAGTATTACTTTATATGTTGGTATAGGAATCAGGTACGTTGGATGTATGGTGGTTGTATGATGACGGTGGTCTAACAATTCTTCTGCCGTACATCGTGTCTCAGCGAGCCGCTTGGCAGAGATGCAAGCTGAGGATCTTCGCTCTCGCTAACAGAAGACACGAGATGGAACTAGAGGAGAGAAAGTTAGTACCAGGGAATATATTAGGGGAAATTCATAAAATACCTTCACTAATGGGGGGGGTTTGTCTCAGTGTGACTTTAGCCCTTTATTATATTAATATTATTTATTATTTATATTCGTTATGGAAGATATTTAATTTTTAAAATTTTATTATAATAACTTTTTTTATTTGTAATAAATACAATATGTGAATATATCTGAAATAGTTCGCATCACATTATTGAGAAACTATTTCGTAATGATTTCCTTACAACTTTAATTAACTTAAAAATATAAGGAAGTGATAATATAAACATAAAAAAAAATCGCAAAAAACTATACATTTAAATATTAATGAATATTTATGTAGTCGTGTTGTACATGTTGGGGGGTTAAATGGTCCAGTTAGGTAAGTCCAACTTCGAGAAAGAGGTCAATCGTCGAATCCAACTCGGCTGGGCTGCGTTCGGGAAGCTACGTAGAATCTTCTCGTCCAGAATACCGCAGTGTCTCAAGACAAAAGTCTTCGACCAGTGTGTGTTGCCAGTGCTAACATACGGCACTGAGACGTGGCCGCTCACGAAGGGCCTCATTAGAAAGCTCAAGGTCACTCAAAGGGCAATGGAGAGGGCTATGCTCGGAGTTTCACTGCGTGATCAAATCAGGAATGAGGAGATCCGCAGAAGAACGGGAGTCACCGACATAGCCCGAAGAATTGCAGTACTTAAGTGGCAGTGGGCAGGGCACATCGCTCGCAGAACCGATGCCCGATGGGGCCAACGGGTTCTCGAGTGGCAACCACGAGCCGGAAGACGCAGTGTGGGTAGGCCCCCAACAAGGTGGTCCGACGACCTGGTGAAGGTCGCGGGAATCCGCTGGATGCGGGTGGCACAAGACCGGTCGTCGTGGAGATCCTTGGGGGAGGCCTATGTCCTGCAGTGGACGTCTTTTGGCTGATGATGATGATGATGATGAATATTTATATTTTAATTACAGTATGGCCAACCTGTTAGCTAAGTTCCGTATAGACTACTCCTCACTGACCATGGTGCAAGACATCATGGAACCGCCGCAAGCTGAGACTAAGAAACTGTTTGAAGATATTATAAAGGGTTTCACGGACGGGAAAGGAGGTAAAAATATAATACATTAATAACTTATAGTATTAATTCGATGAGGAGTTTTTATATACATATATCTTCTTCTCTTCTACCTGGTAATTACCCAGCTTTAGCCAGGTTCTGTAAAGTACATATGACTCGGAAAAATTGCATTGATACTTGCCAGGATCGAACCCGAGCCCTCATGCATGAGAGGCGGGTCTTTTAACTACTAGGTCTGACTTGCTACATACGTGTATATATATATATATATATTTCGGTATAGTCCTTAAATTTACTCATGCTTGTTACGGACGCTTTCAATAATAAATATATGGATGTGTTCTTGATTTTATTGCCACAGTCATTGTTTGTTAGTTTAGATCCATTTTTGTACTAAAACTATAATTATATTAAACTACCTGGTACTCGCGACTCAGTGCACATAATAAAAACAAAATACAATAAAAACTACTCAAGATAATAAAAAAAAACTACTGTTATACAAGTAGATTTAACATTAGTACAATTTATTTTTAATTAAGTAATTCATGATAATTTGATTTTTGTAAACAATAGTGGTTTTCCGTTATTGAATTTCTACGGTGCATCCATTTAGACAATAAAAGTAGTAAATAAAATACAATTCTATTCTAAAATTCTATAAGACAATAGAAGTAGTAAATAAAATACATTGCCATAAAATATGATTATTGAAATTGTTTAAAAATCCCACTGTAATAACAACATCAGGGTTGATCATCAAATAATATTTCTATATTTTCTCTATACGATCCCTTAAGAACACGTAAACATTTGTTTTACAGAGTGCAGCATCCCTCAGTCGGAGTTGTCAACCCTATGTGAGAAGACTCATCGTCAATTGAGACTTCGGGAACTCCTTCTCGCTAACTCCTCGAACGCTCAGCTGGTCGTAATGTCCCTACCCATGCCTAGAAAGGTAATCACACACACTGTAACAAGCATATATAATTTAAAATATTAAAGTAAGAAAGCAGAATATACTTTACAATTTTAGGAAACCTATGACACGATGAAATATAATAATATAGTACAAAATATATATCTTCTTATATCCACAACTGAATACATTTTTTAATTAACTCAACATACTTGGAATCAATCGTCATTTATTCTTTCAAACCTTATTTTTTAATACAGCACCTAATCTTGTATCTTACTTTATATATTTAAATGAGCAATTCTTGTATATGTGTATATAATTGGAATCTTGGAATCGGTTCCAACGATTATCAAGAAATTTTGTATATGTATTTCGCGGGCGAAAAATCGATCTAGCTAGGAATCATTTTTAAGAAACGTCATTTTATGAAAAAAACAAAAAGGCGTTTAAAATATGACTCTTTCTGACATCTATTGTCGAATAATAATACTACTTTTTGCTAATTGACTTTACTAATTGCTTTAACGACACAACAGTAGATGGCGTTGTTAAATAACAGGAAGTCAATGAGTGTTTATTTTGAGATTTGACTAGAAATTAATTGTTGATTTAGGTATATTGTTTTGTGTCTTAACGTGTTCACTTAAAAATACCTCAACGAAATAAAAAAAAACACAAAATAAATACTAATAATTCCTAAATACCGAGCAAAGCTCGGTGTCCAGGTAAATAATACCTAAATACTTTTTAATAAACTTGAAAATGGTATTCAGTCGTCATTTATTCTTTTTAAAAATTTCTTTTAAATTTAATGTCTAATAAATATTGTATTCACTATTTAGATTTAATAGATATATATGCTCCCGTAGTAATAGACGGTGAAGGAAAACATCGTGAGGAAACCTGGACTTATAATTTTACAATTATAAGTTTGAAATCATCAACTCGTCTTGAGCAAGCGTGTTGATTAATGCTCAAACCTTCTCCATGTGAGAAAGAGGCCTCTCAGCAGTGGGCTCTGATAGGCCGACGACCATAGTAATAATTATTGTTTGTTTTAGGGTTCCGTATCAGCTCCACTGTACATGGCGTGGTTGGAAGTAATGAGTCGCGACCTCCCGCCCATGTTGTTCGTGAGAGGCAACCAGACCTCTGTGCTCACATTCTATTCATAGACCTCAACACAGTTCGGAAACGAAAACGGTAATAACAGTTCGGAAACGGAAAGTCTATTCGGAAACTTTAACATTATATGTTCATAAAAGTCGACTTAATATTTTGTGACTATTATATTATATTTAATGTTAAATTATTGTTTAGCAATAATATATTTATATCTTTTATGTTTTCTCTTTTAACAAATTCTTTTAATTTCCTTTACAGTAATTTATTTATTATGTATTGTTTCTGAACTACCATATTTTTATGACTTAATTTATAATATTTTAAGTGAACAAAGCTACTTTGTAACGATAAGCGGAATGCAATTAATATAGTGACTAGACAAGTAAATAATCACAAATCGTAAAACATACAATGTGTTTTCAGGAAAAGTGTGACTTATTACTGTTTAGACGAAAAGTAAATGGAATTATTTTGTAAGAACGTAGTATTGTATGTTATTGTCGACTTTGCTTTGTGATTTATTTTATTGTATACTTTGTAAAACAAAGTGTAACACATATATTTAAGTAAGTATCGAGCAAAATATACCAAATGTTATATTTACTTAATTTAATTTTATAACAAAAACAAAATGTATTATTTTAAGAATATTATTTAAAGTGACTTAATGCAAGCAGCTTTTTAAGTTTCATTTGTATTAGAGTTATTTATTTTTTAAGTATTTATAGAATAAAATATTAAATTAGTATTTTTTTTTGTTTTTTAATCTAATCTATTTATAATAAGTTTGTAAAGTACATACAGTAAATTATAAATATAAATCTATGTGTTACTTGTTAGTTAGTTCCTAGTTATTGTGTATTTTGTCAATGTTATAATAAATGAAAGACATTATTGAAATAAATATTAATTTAATTTTTTATTATTTTTGTTTTATTGTTTAATTTAAGTTAAATATGTATATATTTCTATATTAAACAAATCTTTCATTATTAATGCTTTGCCTTAAAAATAACAGCAGCTTTATTGTAATAATTTTGATTTTGCTTTTAGTAAAAGGTTGTTGAACTTGTAACTCTGCTAAGAGACATTAATTAATCAGTAGCCTTTCCTCAAATTTATATAATAACATGACATATTTGAAAAACCATGATATATTTCGATACTATTGAGGTAAAAAGATATTTTATTGATACTAGTAACGCTGCGTATGAAGTGTGCGGTTACAAACTGTTGGTAAGCATACAGATGTATAGTAACATAAAAAATGGCATCGTAAATAGTTATTTTTATAAGATCCTGTTTGTGACATTACAATGGCTGATACAGGATTTAATGATCATAGCTTTACAAAATTAAAGCGCCATATGTTATGCGAGTAAAGAAACCTTTGGATTTTATTTAAATGTACGTTATTCATTCTTTGGAAACCCGTTAAGAAATTACTATTCATTCAATTTTGACATTCAGAACTCATCTTGAGTCAAGCACCTGTTCTTTTAGTCTATCAGTCCAGTTTTCGCTCCCTTCCAGAGCAAGTGCTGCCCTCTAATGTCAAATGTGGATTTGGCGGGAGGAAACTTGCATATTTTAACAAATTGATAATTCTTCATTATAGCATCGTCATTAGTGATATTTTTACAGTATTCTAAGTGTTCGGATAAGCCAATGGATTTTGCATTGATTTTAATTATTCCAAATACAAATTTTTAATGTAGCGATTGGAATGCGTTGTGATGATGATCTTCATAAGAAATGTATCGCTATATTCAAATACGCATTTCATTCAAATGCGTCTCGGTGTACTGATCACTCTCGTACGGTACCTGACACCTGCATTACTCTCTTCATGCCACATGGTGATAGTACGAGATCCCACTGCAGGATTGGTGCATCATCGATTATTTGTTTAAAACCAAATTTTAATGTTTATTTATAGTTAGGAGAACATATATTTACTAGGTTGCCTATCAAAATTTGACCGCCATTATTTTTAATTAAATTATTTTGAATTAATTTTTGGGAACATTTTTCGTTTACTTGTTTTCTTAAATAAAAACACCTATACATGATGGTAAATTATATGAAGATTCTAAAAAATCACGGATGCCAAATTTATACGTTTATAACGTATATTTATGAATTATTATATATCAAATTGAATCAAATTTTTTCTTTTATTTATCAAATGCTAGTTTTTGCCAGCGACTTCGTCCGCGTTAGTTTGGCCAAGAGTAATATATGTAGGTATAGCTGACCAGGCGAACTCTATTCCGTCTTAGAGGCCATAAATAATCAGGTTTTGCCTGTTTCAATCAAACAGAATGATTGACATATTAGTTACTTGTCAAATCTAATGTCAAAAAAAACGTTTGTATAGGAAATAGAAAAGCGCTGTTTTTAGGGTTTTCCCGGAAATTATTATTTTTTTCAGCTTTTATACCTTCCCTGAACCTTCACGAACATTTCAAGACTAAGATAAGATAAATCCGTTCAGCTGTTCTCGAGTTTTAGCGAGACTAAGGAACAGCAATCCATTTTTATATATATAGAAGATGGGTGCTTCATTAAACCTGTCCGCAAACAAGGGTTGCTGGCTGTTGAAAATGATAAATATTTAAGGTAGAGTGAAAGAGAGTTAGTGCGTAACATCATTTGTCAAAGATAGCGAATACTAGCTGTGCGACACTTTTAAGTCATTGCGCATGCGTCGATGGTTAGTGTTCTCAACCACCGGGGACTAAAAGATCCAACCTGCATTTGTGTATCATAATTAATGTTGGATGGACAGAAATGATTGAATTGGACTAAAAAGAAAAACGCCTTATTATTATTTAGCTAGCAACAATCAAAACTAAATACTTCCCGTCAGTGGCGGCATAAGGCTTGGCGACGTGGGCAACCGCCTACGGCCTCGCGGTACAAAGGGCCTCGCGCCTCAAAAAATTTTAAAGCGAGAATAAAAAAAATCTTGTTCTTCTTGTTCCTGGCATTTTCCCAGCTATAGCCAGGGTCTGCCTTACATGTTGTGATTAGTTTTGGCTATTTGTTTTTACGACCGGTCGCCTGCCTGACATCAACCCTCTTTAGGAATCAGAATTAATTAAACCTATTTTAATAAGAATAGTGTGTTCAATGTTTTAATAATATTTAGCGAAAAAATAGATAGTGTTTAAGTATATTGATTGCCCCCGAAAACAGTGATGTTTTTTAATTGTTTTTGTTTTTTTGTGATTTGTAATAACACCGGTACCTGTACTCGTCTATTTTACATAAACTAAGAAATATTTAATTGGTAATAAGTATGTAACGCAGTAGTTACTTGTATACAAAATACGCTTTATAATATCTTTTGAAGGAAACCAAAGCTTTAAGGGTAAAAAACGTATCTACGTTTAAGTTTTTAAAACTAGCAGGTAGTAAGAGCTTCAAGTTGCCATAGAATAGGACCTCGCGAATCTGTCTTGCACACATCAAATTTAGGTCTTGCCCCCCCACTTCTTCCCGTGACGGTTTGGCCAAATTTAGATTTAGGGGTATAGTAAGTTATCAGGCCTATTGGCAATTTGCATAATGAAAAGGGTTTTTTTCAGAACCATACCCGTATATAAATTTTTATTTCGACTTTTACTAAAGTTCCCTCGAATATAATTATATATATTCTCCTTAAACACATTCTAAATCTATTCTATTTCAGTAGCCCGAGGAGGAGAGTTCAAATTCACTTATCTAAGACCCTAAAATTGTTTACAATATTTGAGTACACATTTTGCAGATGTAAATAATTCATATCAGATACTGAGGCTCATAGGATTCCCAAAGAGAGTTGATGTCAGGCATCTGGCCGGTCGTAAAAAATAATTAGCCGAAACTATCTGGCAGAGCCTGGCTAAAACTGGGAAATTGCCAGGAAGAAGACTGTGGCTAATAGCAGTCCTGCTGCTTATATCGTCTATTGTTCGTCTACCTGGTTTATCACGAGTATGTATAATGAAGTAAGAATTAACAATTTGTTAATACATATGTGCAAGTTTCCTCCCGCCAAATTCACATTAGAGAGTAGCACTTGCACTGGAAAGGAGCGAAAACTGGATTATAAGGCTATAAGGGCAGGTGCTTGACTTATGATGGATAACGGATGTCTTAAAGAAAACTAATAGGTAACTTTTATTGTTAATTAACTCTTTTTTTCATAGCCTTTTCATAGTAGTATCTTGTTTCAACTTTCAGGGTAGTGAGCGCTAAATGAATTTTTTTGACCGCTATACTTAATATTACATATTATTTTTACTACCTGCTCACTTTTCTATAACTGATTATTCTTACTATATAATAAAACAAGCATGAATATATTACAAGTTTATTCCACACGTATCTCCAAGATTTAATTTAGAACTGTAATTATATACAAACACGTGAATCTAACGATAAACTTAATTAAATCAATGTTAATTTCAATAGCTATATTAATTTTAACACAAGCGAGATATAAAACACTAGGACGCCGTTTATTTACAAATCATTATTTATTTAACTATATATATATTATACACATTGTTCTATATCATTATATCTTATTTTTAATAAGATTATAATATTTCGGATTATTTATTTTTACATCTAGATTTCGCGGATTCGTAGAGAACATTTTTGTATGAGACCAATGTCTTCCCAGTAAAGATGTTTCATATATAAACCGAATATTATATATATATAATAGTATATTATATATATTTCTGTTACAAAAGATTTAATAGATGGAAATTATAATTTATATTTGTACTATAACATCACTCGACTAACAGATTTGTGCTACGGTTGAATTAATAGATTTGTTTAAATCAAATGAACATATAATTTTAAATGCATTTATATTACAATCAAATTAAGGGTGCGCTTTCATTAAACAAGATGAAGCGGGTGAAATTTTACTATTAAAAAATAATCATGTATTTTTACTAATATATATTTAAATTTCGTACATAAACGCACCCTTGATATTTTGGCTGAGGTGTCATTTAGTGAAGAGATATGTTGATTTACAAGGACGGCGATTTACATGCGATATGTGATTTGAAAAATAATATTATCTGCATTTTAAACATAAGGTGCATCTACATATATAATATATAATAAATTTACATATATATTGATACAACACTTGCAAAGTCTCTTCAATAACATTACAGTGTCCGAGTCCACATAAATTTTCTATCATTTAACAGTATTCAGTCTATTATTATATTACTTATAAATATTTAAATCCATTCTCGATCAAGTTCCGAGCTAACTCGAAACTGAATTAAGAAGAGATATTAATATTAATGATAATAAATTTGAGTGCGGAGTCAGTTACATACAAAATTACATTTAGACGAGATAATTGTATGAATTCAAGTATGAATGTAATTAAACTACCAGCACCTTCACACTCGCGGGTACACAAATTAAATACGAACATATTAATGACACAGCCATACTCCTTATATATAAATAAATAACACGAACACGTAACCAGTTTGTGTGACCCCCCGCTGTGTGTTGTGTTCGTGGTCGCGGGTCGCTGTATGTTTGTCTGTCACAGTATGTTACACACGGGTCGCGCCAGTTTTCATTCGGACTCGTCGTCGTTTTCGTCGTCGAAGCCCGTCAGATCAGCAGACTCTAGGTACCCGTGCATCACCTGGAATATTAACGATAATATATTATAATATATATATTAGTTTCATTTAGAGCCCGCTCACAAAGAGCACCGCGGTCAGACTGCCCTCTATGTGCGTTGTTGTTATAGACTCGGTATGTATGAAGGATGAACGTGGAACTCCTGACCGCTCTCTATAATGGATCTCTCTCTCTCTATCTCTCTCTCTCTCTCTCTGTGTGTCTGTGTGTGCGTGTGTCGCACGTACCGCGTACTCGAGCAGCGCCAGATGACAGAAGACATACTGGTCCGGCATCTGTATGGAGTGTGCGCGCTGTGCCCGCACGCGCTCGACGGCCGCGCGCACGTCCGCCGCGCCCTCGGCCAGCAGGCGCGCGCGGCACACGTCCAGCGTGATGAAGGTGCCCGTGCGGCCGATGCCCGCTGAACAGTGGACTATCATCGGCGGCCCGCGACGGTGACCAGCCCACGAGTCGCCCAGCCTGGAAATATACAGATTTTTATGCCATTATAAGAAAAAAGTCCTCATCTCTTTTAAGATTGCGGTCAAGCACCAATAGTATACTAAAAGTGCTCACAAGTAAATTTGACACACCAATACTTCATCATTATATAAAAATACTTGTTAGGAGATAGTATAATTGATTGTAACTCCTAACATAAATCATGTGGTATCCGTTTGGTGTGTGGCTATCTTTTTAATATTTAATTTGAAATATGTTGTTAATTTAGACATTATAATTATTAGACTAACATAGTTTTATAAGTAAAAATACTAACAAATGAGGCTATGTTGCACAAATAAAGAAATTATTATTATACAGGGTGACTGGTGAATTACTATCAATATTTAAGGAGAATACTCGGTACATGATTCTCATTCGAATTATGTAAAAAAAATGGGTACTTAATTTTTGACCAAATTTCCGTATAAATAAATAAAGTGTGGACACGTTCCAAGTGTTCCAAGTGTGGACGCGTGCTGATACAACACCACGCCACCGCACGCGTGTGTGTGTGTGTGTATACCTAATCTGTAGGGTGTTCACACGATGCGTAATTAATTACATAACTTTTGGTTAACTTTACTTAGAAGTTTATTAATATTTATGTTATATTAATTGTTATTTTGTCATATATGATCGTCAAATATCACGTCCTCAAGTATCGATAGTAATTCACCAGTCACCCTGTATATACAGGGTGTTCATACTGACAGATGAAATGTATTCTTTCTCTATATTATGACTTTAACTGATGTTATACACAAAGTTTTTGTTCTATACATTATTAATTCGGAACCGAACGAATTTAATTATCGCACACTTAGTTAAAGTTACCGAAATCAAAAAAATGTAATCACTGAATGTGTTAGTGATTTGTCAAATAAGGTGATCAACTTCACGAGTATGAAAGAGACCGAAAGTTTATAAAACCGGGATAGCACTAATTTTGATTTAATTTTTTTACGACACTTGAAGATTGCGTCGTAACAGTCCTGCAAGTGAATGTAACTTATTTTGACAAATTTTTATTTAGGTCACCTTAATATGTCAGTTGGTTAGATAGGAAAATATTGAAGAAATATCACATTGCTTGTTCTTGAATACCGTCACCCACGCGTATAGCTGTCTATACATTGCCGGCGTTAGAGGGACTGACACCTTGGGAAAGAATATTTTGGGGCCCACTTGAAGAAATAAAATCGAGTATTAATTTTTTTCTGAACCAATGTGAACACTGAACGTGTGACCCAGAGCTAATTACGTGGACGAAGAAAGTTATGTAGCTCCTACTTTTTTTTATTTTTTTTTAATTTATAAGTATCTTGCCTCCACTAATCGTCCCCCCAAATTTGGCGCCCTGAGCCTTCGCCTCCCCTCCCTAACGTCGGCACTGTGTCTATAGTATACAAGTACTAACTCGTTGGTGGCCCGCTGCTGCGCCCTTCGTACATCCTCTAGGAAGGCCAATACAGGCGCGGCTCGGCCCCCACCCGGTACACCATAGTCCGGCCACCTCGTGTACTGTCCGTGCCAGATCTTCCTCCGCTGGTCGGTCCTAGTGTCCGTCAGTACGAGGTGGGTCACCGTATAATGGTCACCCTCATCTACAGCCTCCGTATATACGGACAGTCCACCGTATACGGAACTCTGTCCGGCAACCCCCGGCCAGTACTGCCCGCATTTAACGCGACCCCTCTCCACGGTTCTAGTAGTCATCACTATCACAAGACATCCTTGCTCCCACACCATGCGCCAGAAGTCGCCGAATGTTTTTGGTAATGGACCTGAAAGTATTAGATACATATTAATAATTATTTATTGCTACGTATTTCTATTTAACACAGTAACATCAGACAATATTAAATAATTAATGGTCCTAACCTACATTTTTGTTTTTGTTCTATCATGCAATATTAAGTTTGATCGTTCATTCTTTGACAATCGTGTTTAAATAAATATCATATCGATTATCATATGAAATATTATGTTCTGTGATATTTTCAAAGAACTATCACATTTCTTATAGAAATGTGTATAGGTATACGAATAAACTTAATAAAGTAGTACAAATACATTTTACATACAAAAAACATAACTGTAAGTATGACGTCATATAATCGTGTATCTATGACGTCATACAATCGAAGTCTTTTAAATTGAACCGTATAGTTGTTGAAGGTCAAACAGCACGCCAACACTATAAATAACTCGTGACGTTTGAACTAGTTAGTTCTGTATAAGTAGAGTATTGTTCGTAACACGTCTGGCGACCAGCCATCTGGGAAAAACGTCCAAAATGGAGGAAACTCAATATCTATTTATAGAAACCTACTTGTATAATAATGTTTCATACAAAAATATGTACATTTTAAGTATATTTAAACATTAGTTTATTATATATTAACTAGAAGACCCGGCGAACTTCGTTTCGCCCTATAATCAAGAAATATCTGTTACGTTTTTTTATTTATATTTTTGGAGTTTACCTATTAAAGCCATAAATCTCCGTGTTTTGAAGTGATTAGGAATGATTAATAGTTAATATGAGAGTTACACTGAGCTAGCAAAATAATAATTGTCAACGTTACTACTACACTTGATGCACAAACAATAACGATGGCCGACAACTGTGTAGGGAGTGAGAGAAGTCTAATTGTGTGAGAGAAACAGAAGACCGGCTTCGTTCTCATCCCTACTCCGTGCTGTTTACTGGGTCAGAAGTGACACCTGTAGATATCTGGCGGGGATAACTTATTAAATGACGATTGATCAGTTATCGACCGGAGATGAAAAATGATTAAATTACTAAAATAGCTATTAAAAAATAAGGGTTGATCGTAGAAGGGTGAAAATTTAGGATTGTATGTATTTTTGTACGTTGTATCATAAAAAAATAGTAATTAAAAATTTTGTCTAAAAAATAAAAAAAATAAATTTAGGGGTGGACTACCCCTAACATTTAGGGGGATGAAAAATAGATTTTGGCCGATTCTCATAGCTACCGAATAAGCACAAAAAATTTCATCAAAATCGGTCAGGTTGTTTCGGAGGAGTATGGGCACGAAAACTGTGACACGAGAATTTTATATATTAGATATATTTATCATAATTGTATTGTTTGTAAAGCTTTTAATAAAAAATTCGTTTGATCATTCGAAGTTTTAAGTATTTATATTTTGTGTGTACATGTTAAATCCTCAGTTCATTTCCCAAGCCTGTAGTGTCAGTGACGTCATTATATCTATCTGTTTATATTGCAGTGTAATGTTATGTTGTAATGAAAATAACACGTAAGTTAAACAGTATGAATACAATTATTATAAAACAAAATATTATAAGTGTTTTATATTCGTCCATCTCTTTACCACAGATTGTGTGTCGAACTGCTTAATCGATTTTGGTAAAACATGAGTTAAGATATTTGAATTTGAAAATTATATAATTGATAACCAAAATAATATAGATTCTCACATCTATACTAATATTATAAAGCTGAAGAGTTTGTTTGTTTGTTTGTTTGTTTGAAAGCGCTAATCTCCGAAACTACTGGTTCGAATTGAATAATTCTTTTTGTGTTGGATAGTCCAGCTATCGAGGAAGGCTGTGGGCTATATAACATCACGCTACCACCAATAGGAGCAAAGATATAGTGGTAAATGTTTAAAAAACGGGAGAAATTATTTCATCTTTGAAGCCTTCTGTTGCGTGCGCCTTGAAAACGGTTCAAGATACACAAAAATATGTATTAAAGAATAATAGCTCTTTTAATGATCTAAAAAACAGTCCGCGACAGTATATGTCTGTCTTTTAAGATTAACTCACAAAAACCGTTTTTATGGTACCTAATTTGGTCGAAATAATTTGTTTAAGTTGTATTAACATAATAATAATAATAATCTTTATTCAAATAAACAAATAAATATTTTGTTGGTTAAGAGTACTTCATTGTGAATAAAAAAAATATAGGTTTTATCCTGAAAATTCTACGGGAACTCGACCATTCCGAAAACCCCGCAAGAACGGGAACTGTGTGGGAAGAAGCAAAAATCTGCCGGAAGTCACTATTCCACGCGGACGAAGTCGCAGCAAAATACATATATAAAATACTTATCCACAACGTGATCACGGGCAAATGTAGTAGGTGCACATTATTTTTGCAGCGAAGTAACCGATACATGGGGAGCATGTAGTTTAAAATAATCACATGCTATAGTACATACAATAATATTAGTTTCTCTTTGACATTTGCACTAAGACTCATTTTGTTGCTAATCTTCAAGTGTACCAAGGTCTGAATGTATATATGAATGAGTAAACTGTAGACGCTCCGTGTACAGTTTCAGTATAGTAGTAGTAGTACCTTGTGTGGAGATGAACGCGTTCCTCTGCTTGTACCCGTCCACGTAGTTAGCGTTGATATAGTCCGAGTGAGGATCGTCGTCAAGCGTGGACAGCACCACTCGCGAGTGGTCGTAACACAACACGTCCGTGTAGCGGTTCTTGGACAAGTTGGCCGGCAGTCTGGAAATATTGATAAAGATCGATAAATATTACGAGCTCACTGACAAACTCACTCGAAATAGGTTCGTCGTGGATTTGTACGTTTTAAAAGTGGGAGCGAGAGGTATAACAGCGAAATCTATCTACAATCTACTAAAAGACTTGGGCCTGTCCAGTACTAACATTAATTCATTCTTGGAACGTACTTCGAAGGCAGCCCTAGTAAGCTCTTTTTAAATTTGGTTAGGTAGGGAGAGGAGCTTAGACAGTGGAAGTGAGTGTTTAACGCGCGTTAGTTAGAAGCCCCTTAAACCTACCCCTTAAAACTACATACATCACGTCTGCCCGTGATCACGGCTGCTGAAAAGTAGCCGAAACGTTGGGAGTATGTAGTATTACAAAAATAAAGCACACGTAGCATATACGAAAAATCTTAGGTTCATTTAAATGAATATTCGCGAAAGTCTTAGATCTCATTAACATATCGCTGGGGATACTACAAATCCGCAGTGGTCATTGTGAAAAAAAAAATATCTTAAAAGTCGTTAATAAAAACATATTTAAAATTAAACTTTCTTCTTATAATCTGCTTCCAATGTAGATACGCGGAATTATCCAATACTAGTTACTCGATTTTGCACGATCCCCGACGATATATTAATTTAACACTTTTTTGTAAACCACAATTACAATAACAAACAATTACAAAATATATAAACTAGTAAACTAGTGGTGAAACAAAAGGCGGGCTAATTAGCCATTTCTTCCAGACTAGCTATTCATATAATCAGTGCCGGCGTTAGAGGGACTGACGCCCTGGGCAAGAATATTTTGGCGCCCACTTGAAGAAATCAAAATCGAGTATTAACTTTTTTCTGAACCAATGTGAACACTGAACGTGTATTAAGAATTCTGTATTCCGTCTACCATCTACCATATTTCCTTTAGCGTGACCCAGAGCTAACGACGTGGACGTAGTAAGTTATGTAGCTCCTATTTTTTTTTTCATTTATAAGTATCCTACCTCCACTAATAGCTCCCCCAAATTTGGCGCCCCCCTCTAACGCCGGCACTGCATATAATAGTTATACAACTGACTTAGCGTGATGGAAGGTCCCGGCTAGAGGTCTGGCTCGTATTTCGTCGTACTCGGCGCAGAGACCTCTTCGTCCGAGGGCGTTGACCCTGGCCAGGAGGGCGGCGGGTGTCTCGGGCGCTCCGCCCCCGCCGCACTCCTCGTCCGAAGCCCCGGGAGACGCCTCGCCCGACGACCACGTGCCGCGGGCTGATTGTGACATGCAACAAGTTAAGATATATATACAAACTGATTATCATAATTATCTTCGATGGGTTTGCTCAGTGTTATTATAGCAAGTTAGCATGTTCTCAGTAAATACAAAACGTTTGTAGATTATTTATCATTGATAAAGTTTCAGGGAGAACAACAGAAAACTGTCGGTATGTAGCGTCGCGATGGAAACTCGTGGTATGGTATGGTATTAATAATTTGTTACATCCAAAAAAATTATCACTACCTCGATATTTTAATAAAGGTTTGAATATACATAGTCTGGCCATAAATACAATTAAAAATAAACAAAATATTACATTTGAATTTGGAATCTGTCATTTTTATATAATTTTTCATTGTGTTTTCTTATTTCGGCGCCGATACATTGTTAAATATTTTGCGATATTAAAATGGAGTGGGGTGATAAAGAGAACCGAATTTCTGTGATAGCATTACACAAAGTGGGTATGGAGTCAAATGTAATTTTTAAAACTCTCCACATTCTTGGCATTCGTCAAATGTTTGTGTACCGGGCTATTAATAGGTACAGTGAGACCTCTGTTTGTGTCAGAAAAAGATCTGGCCGTTCATTTAGTGTTCGTACGAAAAAGGTGTTCAAAGCAGTAAGGGAAAGAATTCGAAGAAATCCTGTCCGAAAACAAAGATTTTATCTCGGGAGATGAAGTTAGCATCTAGAACCATGTCGCGTATTATAAAAGATGACTTAGGACTTGCAGCTTATAAAAGACTCACTGGACATTTTGTAAATTATCATTTAAAAAGAATAAAGTAATGAATTCTAAACAATAACTGAAGCGGTACGCAAAGGGAGGTCACAGAAACATTTGTTTACGGATGAGATATTTTTTACAATTGAGCAACATTTTGACAAACAAAATGACCGTATTTATTCTCAAAGTTCTAAGGAAGCTTCGCAATTAGTCGACAGAGTGCAACGTAGGCATTTTCCGATTTCAGTGATGGTTTTGTGGGCTGTTAGCTATGAAGGAGTGGCTGAGCCATACTTTATGAAAAAGGTATCAAAACATCAGCTCATGTGTCTCAAAATACCATTCTTGAGAAGGTATTTAAGCCTCTTAACAACACCATGTTTAATAACCAGTAATGGTCCTTCCAGCAAGACTCTGTCCACGCAGTCTTGGTTGGAAACGAATATTTCCGACTTCATCAGAGCTAAAGACTGGCCGTAGTCTAGACCCGATCTTAATCCGCTGGATAATGATATGGTCAGTTTTAGAGAGTAGGGCTTGCTCTAAACGCCATCATAATTTGGACTCCATAAAACAATCCATACGATTAGCAGTTAAGAATTTTCCCATAGAAAGAATAGTGCTTCTATTGATAACTGGCCTCAACGCTTAAAGGACTGTACAGCCAAATGAGACCACATCGAATAAGCTTTTTATGTTTTAAATACATAGTTTTATATTAATGTACTAAACTGACGTACTGTAAAAGTAATAAATGTTATTTGCAATAGAAAAAATATTTTTTTTATTTGTAACAATATTTATGGCTAGAATATGTATAAGTGACGTATAATATAAATATATAAAACAAGGCCTGGAGACTTAATATTTTACAGAGTTGAAGTAATTAATTTTGAGATTGCTAACCAACGTTGGATCCAACCAAACGGCTTTTTTTAATATTGACGTAAGAACTTCAGTATTTGCCAGTAGTGGGCCATCATGTACTAATCTTTTATAACGTTTATAAAAAATATATAATAAACAAAATTGACTTAAACAATAAAATTTATATCAAATAATAATAATAACTATATTTAAGTAATACACAATTTTCCCGTCTATCTGTCAGTAATATAATATTTACTTACACAGAATACACGAATCATTTCACTTACAAATATTTCACTCTATTATTAAAACGACGTTATATCGAGAATACAATAACACGTACCTTATAATATCACGAGAAATATAAAAAAAAAAACATAACAATATATTTAAGAAATACGAGAACAAAAGGACTATGGCAAAAAATAATACTCACAAGTTTATAATAATAATAAATTCCCTACATATTTTTCTAAGGTTTTATTTGAAAAATATAGCATAAAATTACCCACTAGTTCTTAAACGACTTTATTTCAATATCTGCTATAAATATTATCGAAAATCGCATTTTAACAAACTTATAATATTAGTGTGACGTCATCACTACCCAAAAACCCACAAAAAACATGAACGACAAAAAAGTGAGATAACTATTTGAACACGATCACAAAAATCAATACAACATCATAACAACACAATCTCATTTTATATTCAACTCGATCGTAAAACATAACCGTAGTAATCATTACGAGTACTGTTTATTACCGTACGACTTTATTCTATTTATCGCTTGCCCCATTCGTAATATCATTACGTCACATACCGTTTTCTTTCTTAATTTCGTTCATAATATAATTTATCTTCTCTTTTTTCTACTAATAATGATATGTACATGTAAATATCCGTCCGACGTCAATGTATGTCAAGTATGATCGATTCGTTCAAGTTGTATAATGAGGTTGGATCTAAAGAGGATTTATATAAAATTATTACGGTGTCAATTTGGCGGGAAAATTAAAATATGACACAGATAATATAAAGTTATTTATATGTGTAATAATATAATGTTATTTACAACTCACTTATTAAATCCAAGTCGTCTTCATCGCCGGAATTAATGTGTCCTGTCTTCATATCGCCATTGTAGCCGTGTGTGTGTCTGAAATATTATTTAATAATTTATATATATTGTAGATATATATATGTTTTATTAAATATCTATGTAATATGATATATTGTAGCACTGTTTAATCGAAATATTATTTGTGTATTCTCAACACGAGATAGTAATCTTCGAAAATAGATACATTCGAAGCGTTATTCGTTTCTCATTCAATAACTTACATTAATACTATAATGTGAGAATATATGTGAATAGAAAAACCGATAACGTTTACGTATATGTAGTGAGACGATGGAGGCTTGTAGTGGATATACTGATACAAAGAAATATTATATGACATACATAAATATGTATATATACATACATGGGCCATTTATCACGTGGTATATAAGTATATACATATATCAGTTACCTTAATGAAACAAAGTTAATAATGATTAATTGAATAATAAGAACATTAAATATATATATAATGACAATTATAGTGGAAAAAAAGGACAGATATAGAGTAATAGAAAGAGATGAAGATATATGAAAGGAAATCGTTTCAGTTACACTATTTATAACTTAAGAACGGCTGTAGGGATATAATGGTTGAACATTGGCGGAGAGATAGATTAGTACCAGGAGACGGGCATAGGATATTTAATTCTGTTCGATCGAACAAGAAAAAAAATCCAGTATATGTTTATTTACGGCCTTTAAGGCGGAATAGAGTTCGCCCGATCAGCTATACACACAAGTTATGCTGAAATTAACGCGGACGAAGTCCCGGGCAAAAGCTAGTATATATTTAGTGTTATTTTTATTTACCTCAAAGGGTTCGGGTCGCAAGTGTACGGAGCGTCGCTTATGTGCATGATGTCTTGTGTATCGTTCATGACACACGACCCATCCGCATCTATTATACCTGGGATTAAACACATACTAGATTAATATACATATATATATGGAAAATAACTTCAATCAAATCTGTCCATAATAAAATATATAAAAAGGTTTATTTCAATAACAAATTCTTTTTCTTTCATTATGTTTAATTTACCTTTACCTGAAATTTATTTATTTATTTGTAAAACATTTTACAAAGCAATATCTTTACATAAAACGCCAAGCTAATATGAAATTCTAATATAATGTATGTATATATGTTACATATAAATCCTAAACTAATTGTTAAACGTCTCGAGTATCAGCTGTGTAGGGGTCGCTTGAAACAAACTTGATGTGAAACATCATTAGTACGTGGTTAACTCGATAATATGAGTTTCATAGTTAACGGAAACTACATATTACTTGAACGTTTTAATGTATTTATGTTAGTATTAGATACGTAATATTCAAGTTACATATATACATAGTGCTTGTTCTTTTTGTTGTAATTATCTTTTACATTTCTATTTCATATTTTTTTGCATAGACTCGTACTTAATCTTTTTCTCCTACATCCTTAAGGTTAACTGGTACATAATTCACCTAAGCCTAAAGCTTGCCTTTTGTGCAACATTTGTGTGTGCAAAATAAATGTGCAATATTTAATAGTACAAATATATAATGCAAAGAAAACAGAGTCTATACTTTAGTCAAATTTTTAAAGATTCAAATTGTTCTTATATCGAAAGATATGATTTTTAAATTTCCATTATGACTCGCGCCTTTTAAAATCTTCCTGAGAATCTTTTAGTCGAGGATTTAAGATAGCGGAGGAGCACTCGGAATTATTAAAAACGTTTCTTTTCTTAGAGCCGTATATAAATTCGTGATATGTTTTAATAAAATACTAACATTTACATCTGACTGAACTCACTTGATTTAATTTTTAAGTATAATATTATGTTTACGTAAATATCTATTATAATCTCTTAAATTAAAAGACGTACAGACAAAATATCAACAAGCTCTATCATATATATATTTAGGATTATTTTCCATTATAATATTAGCTATAGCATTTATATACAACATAGCAAGTGTGACTTGAAAATATACACTAAACTAACGTGCAGATACAAAGCAAACGCCTAGAAGAAAAATATAGCAATCAATAAAAAAGGAAAAATCTAATGAAGATGAATGAAAACAAAACAGAATGTAGTTAATGTGTTCGACTTACCATTCTGTGTCTTGATGGGCGGTATATGATTACTAATCACATAGTCATCAATGACACCGTCCAGTTTCGTGTTCAAGTTGTTCGTATAACATTTCCTGCAGTGTTCCAGCCTGCAAGTCGGACGGTGTGAGTGAGGATCGTTCGATAGTCTTTTAGTGTGCGTGATTGTGTTTGTGTGTAAGATATATCAAAAGTTACAATATATGTACTTTTTCCACTAAAAACTGAACATATAGGTACGTGGATATAATTTTTTTACACTCACTCATAAATACCTATAGAAATCGAGTCCGTGTAAAACGGCTAATGGTAATAACAATACATATGTATGTATTATATAACATATACTTGTATAACCTAAAGAAATAAACTATATCTTTTCATACATTGATATACATATATTTCCATAGTATGTTATTTAAAACCGCCTTCAAATAAAGGTTACTTAACTATTACGTATATTTAATGGAAAACAAATTTTAAATCATTAATAATATTAAATCCTCATATAAAATTTAAAAATCCTAAATTTTCTTGAAATTGTATAACAAAAACGTGGTTGATTATATACTAAATGAATATTTGATTCATCTTAAAAGTTATTATATTCATAACGCCAAATACTTTATGTATAACTAGAAAATATTGTTTACATAGAAATAAATATTTTTGATAAAGTGCCCGTTACGATAACTTACAAAAAATTCATAATTAAATTATTTCACTGAATAATATCGTTTTTATCGTAAAAAATAATTATTTTAAATGGGATCGATAACTAAAACATTACTTCCCAAGAAATATATGTGATAATTATTATAAAAAACAGTATAAATAAACACACGATTTCTATTCAAGTTTGTGCAACATGCGAATTGATTATTATTATTACCACAAGTTTCTATCGTCATACTACATACTTCGCGTTAACTGTTTTTCACTGACAAATCATTCTATGTTACAGCATTAACAATGGTTATATAAGAAACGAGAAACGCGTAGTATGTAGTAACAATGGATACTTATAGTAAACATATTGTATCGGATAATATAATAGTGTATTACTTGGTAATTACAAATATTAAGATCATATATCAGTAAAGATTTATAATTCACATTTATCTAAATTTCAGCCAAATCCGTATAATTTCATATATCCAAATTCATCCATCTCAAATAATTCAGACACTTATTACTATAAAAGCAATAAAACATCATTATAAATATATAATATTGTATATGTAATTTGTTAAATAAACATTATTAAATAGTAAAGTAGATTATTCATTACTTTCATATAAATAAATACGCAATGCGGATCACATAGAGAAGATATTAATTATGTATATTGACTTTTAATATAATAAAAAATAACATTATTCACATATATACATATATATTAGTACTATAATATTAAAATATTCCATGCTCCATAATAAAATATGAATATATAATATGATATAAAACTATTTGAAAACGACGGAGATGAGAACTATATGTAATTTTATGGACTTGTTATTGATGAGGTATTATGAAATATAAATTCTCTCATATATACATATACTAAAATTGGGCAGACCCTGGCTAAAGCTGGAAAATTGCCAGGAAGAAGAAGGAGATATACTAAAAAAATCAAGCCACAACTAACGTAATTATATTCTAATTGAAAGGGTATTAAATTAACAAGCCATTACAGTATGTCATGTATATTAGAAGCTGTCACTCACCAGGCGGCGTGGTCAGGTTCCAGCTGTCCGCCGAGCTGTTTGGGCAAGCTGGCTCGTGGCACGTGGGCGCCAAGCTGTGGCGCGCTCACGGTGTGCACGCGCTCACGTAGCTTCTCACGCACGAACAGTCGTAGGATACGGAATGGAGCCTTGAACCACAACGGTGCCGTCACTATTAACACCTTTTTCAACTTAGCTGGATAACCGCCCTGTGTGATTAAAACAGAATTAAATTGATATAACGCAAGTAAAATATACGTATTAAGAGGGTCGAAAAACATGTTACATGTGTGTATATAGGTGGCGCCCGGTATTATTATTTCTAAGTTAGTAACCACATTTACATCTATTTATAATTTGCCTAGTTTCGACTTGTATAGGAAAGGGAAAAGATTGCAAAATTCAATTATCTAAATTCTAAAGTATTAACAAGTAAAATATCAATAGGTGTTTTATTAACAAACAAATCTTTAAAAACTTAAACTTTACAACAGCTTACTCAAAGTTACCATCGTCAGACGACATACGGAGAGTTTTCAGTTTTACATTCATGAATTTTCTCACATTATGATAGTAACGTAGGTTATTGATAAACGGGAAACGCTTGGTATGACGATCGATGCAAACTCGTATTAAGCATACAAATTGGACATTCAAACATAATAATATTATTTAAATGAAACTAATATTTTTCGGATATACTACGCGTGCTTTATTATTGTAAAAACTACACACTCACGACGTTTCGGTTAGTTTTTAGCAACTTTGATCACGAGCACATCTTGTAAAGCAGGCGTAATATATTCGAAAAATATTAGTTTCATTTAAATGAATACTCGTAAAACTCTTAGATCTCATTATAATTATATTATTATATTATAAAATTACAATATATGTACATATGAGTCTTTAACTCTTTTCACAATATAGTTTTTTATAACTTTATATCTGTGTTTAGAAGTAACCTACAATCTCTATAGGAAAACCCGATCCAAATAAGTCAGTGGAGGAACATCTCGAGACCGATCACTGACATTTTTCTTAGAAATTCTCTCACAGTCGATGCTCGAGCGAGTTACTTCTCGGTAACGATACAAGTATAAACGATGACTGACACAGAGAGTTATTCAATCGACCTTAAAACAACTAAATTACTTCAATAAAAAATATCAGGTAAGACTAAAAAAATACGTATAATTCATACCCATTTAAGACTTGAATTATAATAATCAATGACAAATTCGTGTAATAGTTAATCGAATAGCAAGGCGTCGAGTTGAGCGAAAGTTATAAACTTTCTATGATATATTAGGCGCATATTAAAACATCGGTCTACCGTACAGAGACGAGGTTGGCCAATAAAAAACACTTTCACCCGTACTCTTATAATGTACAAGTGAATTATGGCTAGACATTATTCAAAGATTCCCTTTAATATCTTTGCGTATTTTCTTTTCAATTATTTTTAGAGTCTACCTTCACATGTATATTAAAATAATGTGATATATACATTGGAATTTTACTAAAACATTTAAAGGCGGTATAATAAACAAAACCAGCATTCTATAATGCTTTAAAAATACAATAAATAATTCATACAAATATTCAATGTATTTAAAAATAACGATCAATGGATTGAGTTTCACCATATAAATAAAAATAATATTCACTACTGGTACGAGTGAAAATGATAAATTATATAAAATAATCCAAAAGATAAAAACGGTACGTCAATGTCCTGTCTCTTCATACAGGATTACTAAATTAAAACATTATTAATTAGACCGTGGGCTTAACCAAACCCTTACAAACAAAAAGTTCACCATTTAATTTGTTCAGAGTTTTTTATTTCTAAATTACGTATTAATGAACCAGCGATTTATAAATAAAACTGTTCATATATAGATTGCTCTTTCAACTGATAATAAGAACTTTATGTCTAATATAAATGTAGGAGGTTATACTAAAATTAGTCAGAACTAAATGCATCCAGGCGTATAAATATCGTTGGGTATCGATTGCTTTGAAGCCAGCCGTGAGAGGAGTTAAGTGCATCGTATTACCTACTTAGGGTCAATAAAACCTACGTATCCGACAATTTTGGGGTGAACAGACAGACTCGGGACAAGAAAGTTAAGGGTGCGAGGTCAATGACCCCCAGTTTCGGTCCCTTCGCGTATCAAGTTATGATTACAATGCAAAATTAATATGCATTAATTCAATTAAAATTCTTATAACATAACTATGTATGTAAAAATGCGTAATTAGTGTAGTAATAAATATAGTCTTTATGATGGTGACGTAATATTAAATTAATTAATATTCCATACATAACAGTAACTATAATATAACGTCCTCTGTATGGTCTTAAACCAGACGAATCAGTGACGTCCCTCACTATAAATATTAATTAAGGCAGTAACATACACAGCCAGGGGTGCACAACTAACTCGGAGACACCAGACGTCGAGACGAGACGCGTCACGGACCAACATTTCTTCAACAATAAGGCATTATTAAAACCTATATAAACACAATGTTCACTGAAATCTTATTTTTCATACATAAATAAAATTATCTAGTATCATTGATTATTTATAAAGTCCTTTTAATACAGTGAATTTTTTTAATATAAGCTGTAAATTAAGTCCCCTTATTAATGGTTGGTAACACCTGGCGTTGCAGACTGTGTACCGAGATATATCAACCCTTACTTATAATAATATTGCGATATGATATACATATCTATACTGCGTTTAAGAGGATAGATTTTATTTATTATTTAGTTGTTAATGCATAGAACAGTCAGAAATTATTTTCGTGTCGAAGCGTTATTTCTATTAAAATAATACAAAAAAGAAATCTATCATATAATAACTTGAGACATGTCATTAAAATAATTATAAGTAGAGAGTGTAGCGTATTTAAAACTGAATTTTTTGGTCGGTTTTATAATTTGATAAAAATATTAAAACATTTAAGTATTATTCTTAATTTTGTTTCAGAATATAAAAAAAAATATTGAGCAAATGTAGAATATAAAAAAAATGTTGAGCACACACTAAGTACCTGCAGTATAATACTACTAAATGAAATTTTTATTATACCATCAAAATACAAGAAATAAATAGAAATTCGTTAACATTATATAATTTTAATTTTCATAGACATTTTGATTTAATATTAACGGAGCGGATTTGCTAGTCTAGTTAAACTTAATCCTGTTATATATTGAAGCTACGTAGCGAGACAAACAATCCTACAGTGAACTGTGAGATGATCTCGAGCCCCTTCAACCGAGGGCTCTTCAACACTTGGTACATCCGTACTAACACGTCTATGTAATGCTTACAACGAGATGACTGCAACTGAGAGATTTAGAGAATACAATATGAAACGCAATTATTATTAAACGCGTAAACTGTGCTTTAAAAGATCTCGTTTTGATTGTGAGTCAAAAACAAATTCTATTCCAATTCGGGTCGAATATGAGAAATTCTTTAGAAATAGAATATTCTAGAATAGAAAAATTTCAACGACATATTCCCCCGACGCCAGCCCATTTGAATAATCTCATCCACAGCTCACGAGACGAGAATCTCTTGAACGGAAATCATTTTCACAACATACACTTAACGTAAAATTTTCTACATATATTTTATAGAGAACGCTAATCCCTAACCCAGGTGGGGTGTAGGATGAAAAAAACTCTGTCGACAGTGCAATAATCGAAAGGGGCTTGACGCTAAATGGCCACATTCATTCAATACATAGCAGCTGCACTTACTGAAAGAACTTCTTCCGTGTACATTTACAATGCACAATGCCGCTACACTCGACTTAAAACATTAAAATAGCGCCTCAATAAAACTTGCACCTTTATAATTCACGAATGGTTACACCAGCCGCTCGTCCGCTATCCTTTCTTAATAACTTTTCAGAGAGGCCATCTTAGATTGCGCTACTTTGTAAGCATCAAAAGGAGTCACGTATAGCTTTTAAGCTACAAAAATGATGGTATTCAAACACGAAATGAGAAAACTTCTTACATACAAGTGTACATAGACACGGACGAGAAAAAGACAGTTACAAGGAACAACGAGAGAGAATTTACATGCTTTGCAAAATATTATAATAGCTGTCATATTAATATACAGTATCACGAAACTTTAATAACTATAGGCATAGAAAAATATATAAGAGACTGGAAAAGAAATGAATGAAACTGAACATTTAAATGAATCTTACTATATACATTTAAAATATAATCATTATTAAATAAAAACAAAATACTTTTTGGTACACTTAAATCATGACTTAAGGGTAAAAATTGTGGTTTTAAAGTATCTCAATATTAAGATTTTAAATTAAAAGTATGCTTACCCTAAGTTTGTACATACTACAGAACTAAGCGTTAACATATTTTAATACATAAATCTTCACACATTTTATCTTTAAAATAGTACTAACGATTGTGAAACGGCAAACGCATCGTATGTAGCGTGACGTTGTAAACTAGTGGTAATCAAACAGACGGTTAAAAATAAAATTGATGTCTCTTTACTTATTACGACGCTGACCTTTTGATTTAAATGTCACGACTTCGATTCTATCGCTGGGGCGAATATAAACGAATTACACTTACATTTAATATTATATCAATTTATAATTTAATTATTATATATTACTATGTTTAAATATCATTCTTATGATATTGGAGAATAATTACGATTAAATTAAGCAAATACATTTATGAGCATGATTTTCAATTTCCAATTTATAACACAAAAAGTCATAGAAAATGTCTGTTGATTTGTTCCTAATAAACTCCGTAAGAGCTGGTCTAATTCCGATGCAATTGATAGCAATTAGATTAAATAATTTAAGAAACTTTACATATTTTAATTACAGATACGCACATATTACAAAGTCATATATATAGTCAAGTGACATCATATATAAAGGAACAAAATTAAAATGATCAATTTCTACACCACCTGTATATTAACACGCGACGTTGAATGTTTAATTAATATAAATATCCGTATATATTGTGTGTGTGTGTGTGTTTTCTGTCGGGAACTGTTCCCAATACATCAACAAACCTCATCACGGGCACTGAGCCGTCACACGTTTGATGCGATGACGTAAACAATGACAAAATACATGCGTTTTGTATTAAAAATATATATTTTTTAACGTTAAGTGAGAGTATTATTATTGTATTTAAATTATTTAAAACTAGCTTTCCGCCCGCAGCTTCGCCGCGTGGAGTTCGGTTATATCGCGTTTCCAAGAGAACCTTTCAAAAGTCTGGGATAAAAACTATCCTATGTTCTTTCTCAAGGTCAACTCTATCTCTGTACCGAATTTCATTAAAATCAGTTCAGTGGTTTAGGCGTGAAAGCGTAGCAGACAGACAGACAGACAGACAGACAGACAGACAGACAGACAGACAGAGTTACTTTCGCATTTATAATATTAGTAGGGATAATTACGAACGTAACATGTTTTTTATAATTAATTTCACTTAATTTGGTATGTCTATGAAGTGTCCCAAATAATTATTTCTTTACGGAATTATTCTTAATATTTCCATTCAACAGAAGCTATTAATCTAAAAATAATTAGACGTAATACATTATAAAACGTTATCGCATTAAAAATATTCAACAATTATTACTGAAACCAAATAGGTTTAATATAAAAAATACAAACAACATATATATGAAGCTATAAAATTTAACTATTCACGTTCCTATTTTTAAATACAAACTAATATTTTTCGGATATACTACGTGTGCTTTATTTTTGTAAAAAAACTACATACTCCCGACGTTTCGGTTACTTATCAGAAACCGTGATCACGGGCAGACGAGATGTCACATATCTCATTTAAAGGAATAAAACTCGCGAAATTCTTAGTTCTCATAAATTTTATCATTATATATATTATCATTTATATATTGGAACAATGATTCCTAAGAAAAATTTCGTAATGCAAAGCTATCTCGTAAATCAGCCTGGTGCTGTAATGAATAATCCCAGGAGATGGTCCGCTGAGAATCGTCGATGCGAGCGAAACTGGGTCAAAGAGCATGTATATCAAGTAATCATTCATTCTCCTGGACGCTTACACGTGCTCGGTTCAAGGTCAAGCTTATTTGGCAATGAGAAACTTATCAGGCACTTCCTATCATGCGCTTTCACTGTACCTCAGTCTTTGAATCTAAAACGTGATAAAACAGACTTAAAATATAACTGTAATACGTAAAATAATATATAGACTTCCTAAATATTTAACTTCAATATGAAGGATGTATCACGATTTTGTGTAAGGAAATAATATTAAAAGATAAAAGAAGAGATAAAAGAAAGGAAATAAAAATAAATAATAGTGCCCTGAAAACATTTCTATAACCAGAAATGTTAACTTATGTATATCTATGTATATGTACATAACATATATATATATATATATATATATATATATATATATATATATATACATATATATATGTTATGTACTGGGCGGATTATATTTACATACATTACAAGTTATGTATACATATAAAAGATAGAAGTAGTGAAGAAATATAAAAAAATTGTATCAATTATAAAATATATATTCTACAAACAATGAACTAGTACGAGTATACAATATCCAACTAAAAACAATAGTTTCAACGTTTTTCATTAAAATACGAGTATATTTAAGTTTCACTCACTGTGTGTGAGCCGCGTATTCTATCAGATGCGGTTACCCAAAACAGAGCAGTTCAACACATCGCTAATGTGCTCCAATTGTTTTGGCTTAGCGACAAAATTGTACTCTGACAAATACAAAAGCAAAATACATGTTAACTCTTAGTATGAATTAACACTGACAGTTTAAAAGTGTTCCATTACAAAAGTATTTAAAGTGACTCGGGAAACTAATACTAAGGCTATTAATGATATATTCCAGGACATATTTAATATCAACGTATAGAATTATTTCTATTCTATAAATGTTATAAAGATAATTTACATAATGACCTACATACATCAAATACAATAATAGAATTATCGCACAGCTTACTAGTTTATTCGTCAGAAATCTGTGATTGTACTGAATTATTTATAAATAAATATTTTAATAACAGTTTAAACAACACACTAAATAAAAATGAAAATAAAATAAATTTATACCTCTTTTTGCCATATAAGATTGTTGTTATTTATATAAATGTTTTAAGTAAACATTTATACCTACAACTTTTTATAATTCATTATAGAAATTTAAGATTAGACACATTTTTCTTATGTTATTACAGAAATATATTAGAATTACGTGCATTAAATGTGATTGTGGAAAGACTTTTTTTAAATAAATAAATATTTTGTCTTTAGATGATGATCGATTATTTTGCTTTTATTTGCTCATTATTATATACATAAAAAGATACTTTTTACAGTAAAGATATTTTTCTTCTAAGGAAAATCATTTTTTTCA